TGGTGAGTGATAAACTAGATGTCAGGGAATGACTTTAGGAGTTAGATAGGGAGTTCAACAAACTAGGTTCTGCCATTTACTAACCAAAGTGACCTTGGGCAGCCCACTTCTTTGAGTCTCAGTCTACTTCACAGGTATGTTGTGAGGATTAAACAAAATAGTGCACTACCTAATGCATGGTAATCCCTTAATAGATTATTACTATTCTTTCATTTACCTGGGTAGACTAGATTTGCTATTGTGATATTAAAGCTCCAAATATTGTAACTCATTTGAGTTGTTTAATAACAAGTACAGAAACATTTCTTTATTTAGGAAAAACAAAAAAAGCTGGACACTGCAGTGTATACCTATAATTTGAGTTACTTGAGGCTGAGATGGGAGGATCACTTGAACCTAGGAGTTCAAGACCAGGCTGGGCAACACATTGAGGCCCTGTTTCAAAATTTAAATAAATTTAATTTTTATTAACCATTTTTAATAATTATTTTATTTATCTATTGTTATGCAGTGCTAAGGATAGAACTCAGTACCTCACACATGCTAGGCAAGTGCTCTGCCACTGAATTACGGCGTCAGCCCTAAAGGAAATTTTAAATAAATAAAAACTTAAAAATGAAATTATATTTTATCTGGATGTGGTAATGCATGCCTGTAATCCCAGCAACTCAGTAGAGTGAGGCAGGAGGATGGTAAATCCAAGGCCAACCTCAGCAATTTAGTAAAGCCCTAAGCAACTTATTGAGACCCTGTCTCAACATAAAAAAATAAAAACAAAAAGGGCTGTGGATGTGGCTCAGTGGTAAAAGCCCTCTGGGTTCAATCATCACTAATAAAAAAAATTAAATTAAATTCTGCTTCACTTCCAACTTACCAGATCTTTTGTGGGGATGCAAAATTCCAGATCTTACCAAATCTAGAAAATCTGGGAAACTGTCTTCAGTTCATTGTAGTTGTAGTGAAGACACTGATTTTCCAAGCAGGTGTGGACCAGTAAAAAGTCCCTGGTGCAGTTTTTCAAGGTATGCATCTATACCTTCCATTGTAAACCTGGCCACCATGAACTTCTGTATGGCTCCCAAACCATGGTTTGGTATCCATTCCCCAAGTATCCTAGAATGATCACTGCCAGGGATAGTGGGAGGGCATTGGGAGAAGGTCAAGCACTGGTCCCCAACACCCCTCTGCCCTTCCAGTTTTGTAGAATCTGGCTCTGCTCCCTTTTATCCCCAGAGCTTTCCTGCACCCAGGCATTACAATTACAACTCTGTCCCTTCAGAAATGTATACATTGGAAACAGTGACCTTCAAGTGCTTCCTGCCAGAAAGTATCCAACCTATAAAGGACTAAATGTTCTTTTAAATAGGGTACAGAATAATATTTCCTTTAAGTCTATTTACTAAGTACACATCAGAAAATTAATTAATTCACTTCATTATACAATGTGCTTGGACTTTTCAGGCTCCCATGACCCTTTCTATATCTTAGACCTAAGCCTGTGTGTCTTTTTTTTTTTTTAATTTTTAGTTGTAGTTGGACACAATACCTTTATTTATTTATTTATTTTTATGTGGTGCTGAGGATCGAACCCAGGGCCCCGCACATGCTAGGTAAGTACTCTACTACTGAGCCACAGCCCCAGCCCCAAAGCCTATATGTCTTATCTTCGCTGCTAATTGGGAAAGTAGAAGGGGTGGGGCAAGTGCCAGGACTGAACAGATTATTTTGCCAATTCTCTCCATTCCTATATGAACCCTCCCAACCAACTGTTTGGAATTCTACATTTCATATCTTCAGAACCCCTTGAAAATAATGAGGGTACAGGGTAGCCGGGAAAAAAAAAAAAAAAAACAGGCTTTGGAAGCTTTGATTTGGGAGAATAAGTACAGTATATACAATGGTACAGAGGGTTCTTATAATACAAGGTATTATAAGAACCTAGGACACTGGTATCCCTGGAATATGTAAAGCAGAAGGGAATAATGAGCCAACAGTTTTTTCCCTTTCATAGACAATTATGCTGGGAGTCGAGGGTTAAGTTCTATGCTGTGAAGTAGAAGCAGAGCTGCAGAGCTGTAGTGCTGGGCCCTCTAGAGGCTAGTTCTTTTTATTCAATGAACATAACTGGCTGTTTCTGCACTGCTGGTCTCATCATTGCCTTTTTTCCTTTTTGGTTTGCTAGACAGACTCCATCTACATTCTGTCATCCCATTCCTCTAGTTTTCGTTTGGAACAAGCTCAGTATTAGGGCACAGTTCTAGAAGGAGATATTGATTCCCTTTGGAAACAGACTAAGGTAGAGAAAATTTCATGCAGGTTTTCTTGGGAGAGTGTTCTTGGACGATGTATGAGTAAGGAAATGAGGAAGCTGGAGTGGCAAAAGAAGGAGCTAACTCACAATGTGGTTGCAACTGATGACTCAGCTGATCCTATTCTGGAGCTGAGATGATCCCTCAGAATTGACCAAGTTGAGGTAGTATAGCAGAGGTAGTATCCCTCTGTGTTGGTTGTGAGAGGCTCCTAGAGGGGTTGTAACCTTAGTAAGACAGTTCCCTATGGCTCAGCGGAATTGCAGTGAGGGATGCAGTTGTTCATCAAATTAGTTTCTCTTCCCTTTTCACTAATCTCTGACTCCTTTATTCCCAGGACCTCATTCTCTGTCAGTTTAACCACTGCCACAGATGGGGTCTCTGATTTCATCCAGGAGGATTATGTTCTTGACTTCTTTGTGACACTTGAAAGAGTACAAGAGTACAATATTGGATGAAAGCCATGCTTTGTCTATTCTTCCTATGGTAAGATAATACTAATATCTTGATATTATTATTCTAATGAGAGGAGAGACCAGACTCCATGGTGCCAGAAAAAAAAAAATGAGAAAAAGTTACATTCTCAAGACAGGATTAGTTATTTATAGGACTCCCATCCCATCTAAAAGCATGAGCTCATCAGAGTAGTAGCACTTTTCCCTTCTTGAAAGAGTTGTAAATGTTGTAATCTTACTAGTCCTGGGGAGAAAGGGATGAATGTGTGGTAAGGACCATTCTGGATGTGTGCCAGAATCCATTCTTTCTTCCATAGGAGTAGACATTTGGCTGGAACATGACTACCCAGATAGTCACCTCATTCACTAGTTCCATGCCATTTGTGGCCTATGTCCTTGTGAATGGATCTGAGCAGAAGAAATGAATGCAGATTTTGCCTGCCCTGGGCTTCTTTGTCTCTCCTCACTAGGTAGAAATGCTTTGACCAGATTGACTTGGACATTACATGTTGAAGATGGCAGCACTTATTCTAGGCAGTAATTATCTAACTGAGTAGAGCAGAGTCGTCTTCCTACTTTTTTTTGCCTCCCTTCTCTACAGAATTGCCCTCTGCTGAAGGGAACCTCCTTGCAACCTTCCTCCAGTCCCTCCACCTCCGCAGGATGGCTCACAACAATGACTGATACAGTTTCCTTTGCCTCAAAGATGTATACATTCTGCCAAGTGGTTTATGTCCCAACCATATGTCACAGTGCCCCTATGGATCAGACCAAGGTTAGACATAAACTGAAACACTTTGTTTGGCTCTTTTCCTTTCCTATCTACTTCACTCTCTCACTTGCAGGTTTTTCCTCATCAATGAATGCCTCTCTCAGGTTCTGCTTATAGGGAACCCAGCATCAGGCCACATGTTAATACTCTGCTCTATTTTCCCAAATCATGTTTTTATTAATTTCTGGGGAATTTCAGATCCACTCTGGGCTGTGAGCATCACAGGATCTAAATTAGCTCATGTGTGTGTACTAAGGGACTAGATTTTTAAAAGTGGGTTCTTTTGAAGTAATTGTAAGAAATACCTACAACGTAGGGTCATTCTGAGGTAAATGCTTACTTAGTCCAGTGCCTGACATGTAGTACATTCTCTTGGAAGTTTGAGAGCAGGGATTTCTTTTTCTTTTCTTTTTTTTTTTTTTTTTGGTTTACTTATGTATCCCAAGTACGTCCAGGTGAGTACTTTCACATAGTATGCACTCAGTAAGTAATGTGTTGAATGAATGATTATTTAAGTTTTGCTTTGAGGGTTCAAGGTGATGTGCTGGCATTTGACCAGCAGAGGGCAGAACCTATGCAAAGATCTGATGGGCCGAGGGAGATGATTGGAACAGAGCTTTCAGACAGCCTGGCACAAATATAAGGGAGTGCTGAGAGAGCAATGCCTACATCATAGCACATTAGAAAGTTTAAATATAACCCTTTAAATACTAGAATTTTATTTAGTCCAACTCTCAGTAATGTAATACACTCATCATCTACTTTGTGAATTCAGATAGATAATTAATTCTAAAGCCCTGAGAGCTCCCTAGATTTGCCATATTATCTGTAGCTTTTCTTTTGAACTTAGAAGCTACCCCAGACCTCTCATAAATCCCCTTTTGTGCTTATGCTAATTTACATGGGGCTTCTAAAATATGCAAGCAAAAGCATTTGAGTTATTTTATTATTAAGCTCTGTGAGTGTGAAAAGTGTGTGAGGGAGAACCTCTCCTACCAATGGGGACTGTGAAGTCTTAGAGGAGCCATCCCAGGCCTGCTTGCTGCTCTGTCTCTCCAGGAAGCTGTTTCTCACACTTTTCTCTACAAGCTTGCTTTGCCTTCTTCCCTTCATTCTCTTTGCTCACTTAGATCTGTCCTATCTTTCAAAACCCAGTCAATGACTCTTTTAGAGCTCCTCAATCTCATTTCTCAAAACCCTTACAGCACTCTCCCTTGGCTACTCATTCTTACACTCTATTGTTCTCCATATTTTATTTGGGAGTTTGAGCTGGGCAGTCTCTAAAGCCCTATCAGCTGTATATTTCAGAATCTGTTCTTTCCATAGGGCACATCTCCTTAAGAAAGTCTCAACTTTCTCCCTCAAGAAGAAATAAAGGAAGGCTTGAACACAAAAGGGGCTTAACACAGATTTGCAGGTAGTTCACCAACTGCTTGTGGGAGAGAATGTATCCTTAAGCTTCCATTCAAGAAACACAAAGGCATTTATTTTTACTTTTTCAAAGTGGAAGTAGCTCCTCTCCCACTTATTACATAAGTAACATACTTATGGTCAAATAAGTCGAGTATTATATATACAATTATAAAGTAGAAAGGGAAAAAATCATACATAATCCTATTCCTCAGAGATCAAAATAGTCTTTCAGAGTTTTGCTATACACAAACATGTACGTTTCAGTGGGGCCTGCTGGATACCACATAGAGATCCATTAAATTGAAATCAGACAGACAGAATGGTGAGCAGCTCCAGTCAGGGATTCAGGGCAAATAGCTTTTAAATAATTCACTCTCCATATTGTACAAATTAGATTGAACTACATGAAATTACTGATATTTGGCAATTTTTGTCCTATAAAAACACAGCAATTTTACATGGTTCAACTTAATGCATATGAAGCTTAGGACAGAACTCATGGGTTCCTTGGAGACTTTCGAGTTTAATTATTACATCGTGCTGAAGAATAAAAAGGACCAGAGAGAAAAAGGACTAGAGAGAAAAATGACCAGCCTAAGGTCATTTACCATATTAGTGGCAGAAGCAGGGCTTCTGAATCTGTTAATATGATAATCTCATAGGTGTGATAATAATGTTCTAGAAGAGAATTCCAACTTAGTATCAGAAGATATGTCACAGAATGTAATCAAAGCAGAAGAGACTGCTTTAGATGTAGTGAAGGTCCCATGACTAGAGACATGGTGGTGCATTTTTGTAATCTTTACTAAAGTAAGGTACTTTTGAATTTTCCTTTCTTCTCTCTTTTTATTGCGCCAGGTAATGACCTCTAGAGTGTTTTACCACTGAGCCAGGGGCCACACCCACATCCCTAGTCCTTTTTTATTTTTTATTGTAAGACAGGCTCTTATTAAGTTGTTTAGGGCCTCGCTGATTCTTTTTCTTAAAGAGAATCCCCAGAACTGTATATGCTTTAGGCTTGGGTCCACTCCAGTGTAACACAGAGTTTTGAAGTGCTAGGCAAGGAGAGCAGAGCTCTGGGGTTCCCAGTCATGGTACCTCTCTGGCCCAAATGGGCAGCATGGCACTTTGCCTGCTTTTTGTGCAGGGTATAAAAAGGTAAAACCACAAATGTTAAATGTGTGTGTTTTAAAAACCACCCAAAAATGTGAACTAACATAAATAAGTAAATTTACTCAGACATCCTGTCCACGATATGGGATAATCATTACTGCATCTCATGGTTGTTGAAGATAACACATTAAAAAATGTCTCCAGAGCATCTTCCTGTTTCATTTCCCTTTGCTACAACTTCTCCTTCTTTCAACCCCATCCCCAAGTACTCCTGCCACTTGACCAATCATTAGTCATTATCTTTTTTGTACTGTTCTGTGTTTGTTCATAGGCTCCCACTGTTACATAAAAAGTTTTAGCCACAAGGCCCAGGCCTGGTAGCCTCCTCTCACATCCCATTGATGACCTTCCTTAGCCCTGTTTCTTGTTGACTTTATAGAGACAGTGAAGCTGATGTGGTCCATAGCTGAGTTCTGGAGGTTCCAGAAGACAATCCTCAAGTGTCTTAATCTTCCACCATCCCCAGCCCCTTTGTGTCAGATCACAGACACACGATTTTTGATGTAGACATGGTAGGGGTCACTACGCTTGTCCACTTTGCGAGAACGGGTGTATCCCAGGATGAGGCTGCCCACAGTAACAGCAAACAGGAACATGACAAAGAGAATATACATGTAAGAGTTGTCATCACGGCCAGGGAGGTTGAGCCGCCGCTCCTCAGTCTGGTTATCTGACCCTGGTCCTGGTCCTGGCCGGCAAAGCAAGTTGCTGTGAAGAGTAGCATTTAAGGCCTTCAGCACCGCATGCAGGCTCTCATACCACATCTCAGTCCCATTGGTAGTCTCCATAGCAACAGAAATTGAAGCTGGGAGAGAATCAGAGGATGCTATGATGGTGAGAGACAAGAGGGAGAGGATGGCTTCTATTACCTTCAGCTTGAGTGACTTCCCCACTTCCCCATCTCAGCTAGAATCCTAACATAACAGTGTACTCTCACTACTTGCTTACTTGCTTACTTCTCCACTACATCACAAGCTCAATAAATGCAGGAACTATATCTGTTTACCTATTGATGTACACGAGCACTTATGACAGTACTTCATAGTGCTCCAATAAATACCTGTGGAATAAAAACCTTCTTGGACTATTGTAACCCGCATTAATTTCATTTGTTTCTTTTATCCCATATGTCACTGAGCTTTAGGCTAGAAGGGCCCTAGAATTATTTAATATAGCTCCTTCCATTTTATGTACAGGGAAACTAAAGCCCACAACAAATAAGTAGTTTGTCCATGATCACAGAGACTGAGAGGTACGGCCAAGATCAAGTCCCACTCTTGGAAGACCAACTTAGAGTTCCTTCAGGTCCCATCCCAGCTCTCCAGGGGACTATGTGGAACCATTTTAGAAGATAGGCATCAGAACTCTCCTTCAGAACAGTTCTTTTTATATAATGCATAGACACCATTTAAGGATGCTTAGATGGCTTAGATTTCACCTATTTGGAACCAAAGACTGGCTCATGGGACCTCTCAAGAATCCTTGGTGCCAAATACTAGGTATTCCTAGCTCTTTGGGGAAATTGTTTTGGAAAAGAGGGAATTGCAAGAGCAGAAAGAAGGTTAATGATCCCTTCAGGTCCTGGAGAAAAGGAGAACAGATCCAGCTGAGCAGGAAGTAAAGTGTTCGGTCTGGTTTGGGGTTTACCTGCAGCACCTCAACTATCCTGCCTCCTGAAACAAAGGCACTACATATCTAGTTTACAGTAGGTGATAATAAATGTTCCCTTTCCTTTTTCTCAGAAATCCTTAATCTATTACAAAGAAAAACATCCTAAGACAACTTTGCATCCTGTCTCTAAACAAAAACAAAACAAAACAAAACAAAAACATGCCATTCCATTAACCAGGATTCACACTTACTTCCATCAGGAAGCCTTCATCCAGGGCTCCCACCCCTCAACCATACTCCATAAGTTTACCAGCTCAGCTTTCCCTTCCCCCACCATTTACATATAAGGCAATTTGTGGCTGTACTCTTTTTTCTTTCTTCCTTTCTTTTTTTCAGTGTAGTTGGACACAATACCTTAATTTTATGTATTTATTTTTAATGTGGTGCTGAGGATCAAACCCAGCGCTTCACACATGCTAGGCGAGTGCTCTAATGCTGAGCCACAAGCTTTACTGCTGAGCCACAACCCCAGCCAGTGGCTGTACTGTTTTTCCTAAGCATATCAGGCCACATGGTTCTATTTAGCAGGACTATATCTCCCCCTAAGTCTAGGAGACTACCCTGAGACTCACTCGGTGTTCTTTTTTACCAAGGGACTGGATGGGTATTCTCCTCCTCTCAGCAGTTTTCTTTTTTTCTATGGCTCTTTGAATGCATAAGTTGGGAGGAAGAATCAGTCACCTAGGACTAGTCCACACTTCATTCATGCAAGGGCTTTGAGACCCTCTGCCATCTAGTACTTGGGCTGTATTATCTGGATGGAGGAGGGGAAAAAGATCAAGGGCTCACTCAGTTAAGATCTAGGAGACATAGATTCTAACCTACTACTCTTTTTTTGTTTGTTTTTTTTTAAAGAGAGAGGGAGAGAGAGAGAGAGAGAGAGAATTTTAATATTTTATTTTTTTAGTTATCAGCGAACACATCTTTGTTTGTATGTGGTGCTGAGGATCGAACCCGGGCCGCATGCATGCCAGGTGAGCGTGCTACCACTGAGCCACATCTCCAGCCCTCACCTACTACTCGTCAGGCAAGAAATCTGTGTCTTTGCTTGCATGTGCAATGGTGTGGAGGAGCATCACAATGAAATGAATGACTCAATGAATCACTTAGCAAGTCATCATTTTTTAGGCCAGGTCCTATGCTGGGACCTCAGGGAGGCTTGAACCTAGTCTCTGCACTCAGAGGCTCATCTCCAGTTTGAAATGAGTAGTAGGTGAGAATCTATGTCAAGCCAGGAGCTACTGAGGCTTAAAAGAAGTGATGAATTTTGATCAGGGCTTGAGAACATTCACAGTGAGGGAAGCATTTCAACTGGACCTTGAAAGATTTTTAGGAGGTAGAGAAGACAGTGGAAGGAAAGAGTTGAACAAAGCACATTAATGAGAAAGCGCATAAAATGTTTAGATGCATGGAAAGTAACATGATGAGGTTAGAACATAAAGTCATGGAAGGCAAAACAGGATTTGGGACAGGAGAAACCGACAGGAGCCAGACCATGAAGGGCTGTGAATGCCATGCTACAGAGTTGGACTTTATCCTGTAGTAGGATTGTAAGAAGAAAAGATGAAGAAGAAAGAAAAGAAAGCAACCATAGGAGAGACCACAATCTAGAAAACTCACTAAATGGCAGGCAAACTCACATTTTATCCTTTGAAAGAAGATAAAATGATCAGATCTATACTGAGAAAAGATGCTCTGGTTGCTATGTGGACTGGAAGGGACAAGAATTGAGGCAGGAGGTCTAGTGATAAGGGTGTTGAAATTGTTTAGGGGTAAGATGCTGAGTCTTAGGTGAGGGCAGAAGGGATGACTGGGCTGGGGCAGGAACAGATGTGGAGATGTGACAGTTGTCTGGAGGATGGAAGGGCTAAATGTGGGTTGAAGGAGGAAGAGACCTCAGACAAGTTTACAGGTAGACAATAGACAGCATATGTGTCTAGAGGAGCACACTTTAAGGGAAGTATTCCCTGATTAGCCTTCAGTCTTCTTATCTATCAAAATAGACCATCATTGGGAGTTGTTATAGAATGGGCACAGAATGTTAGTTTTGCAAGATGGAACAGTTCTAGAGATCTATAGCACAATGATATGAAAATAGTTAACATTTTCTAATACTTAAATGGTTAAGATGGCAATTTTGTGTTATGTGTTTTTTTTTACCACAGTTAAAACAAACAAAAAAGGTTATCACCCCTGCCCTGGCTTCTAAAGTCTTGCTGTAAGCATATATTTTTATTATGTTGAATATAATTTAATTTTTTAGAAACAAATACATATATATATATATATTTTTAAATAAAATCAGTACATACTATGAAGGTGAACTCTCTCTATTCCTGGTCATCCAGGGCTCCTTGCCAGGGCAGTCACTATTGTTAATTTTCTTAGGTTATCCTTGGAAAGGGGCTTTAAATGACGGTTAGAGGGAGGGTAACCTCAATCTAGAAAACTCACCAAATGGCAGGCCAACTCTCTGACTCTGAGATGGCTTCAGGAATCTCCTTATGGATACCTTAAGGCTCCTTAGTTGCTCAGTCTCTTCAGGATGTCTCTGGACATGTCTGGGGTCTCAGGATTGACTTTAGGTACTAGAAGGGGCCAGAGCTGGAAAATGGGAAGGAAGAAGAAACCAGGCACACAGAACAAACTTCAAAACCAGGGTGGATCACTCAAGGCCAGTTCCTGAGGGTTGTGCAATAGTCTTTCTGTGGGCTCAGACCCCCTTCTAGTTCTCCTCCCCTTCCTGCAGCAGCTGGGTCAGGCCTGCCTAGGGCTGTACTTACAGGAACTATGCAGTGGCCAAGAGGCACCAGATTGCTGTCTCCCAGCTCCAGACTCACAATGTCTTAACTGCGTGACTTCATGAAAAGCCCCAGTTTAATATATGGACTCCTGCTGTGGGATCAGCTAATGGTGCAGCTTAAAACATCCCCCTACCCAAGAGACTTTTAGAATCCCAAGGGAATGGGCTGGGGATGTGGCTCAAGCGGTAGCACGCTCGCCTGGCGTGCATGCGGCCCAGGTTCGATCCTCAGCACCACATACAAACAAAAATGTTGTGACCGCCAAAAACTGAAAAATAAATATTAAAATTCTCTCTCTTTAAAAAAAAAAAAGAACCCCAAGGGAGTGATGCAAGTGGTAGAATGGTAGTTATGTAATAACAAATGATGTGCTACTGATCAAACCTATTTAGACAGACAGGGTCCAAATACATTCA